GTTGCCGACATCTGGTGAAAATTTCATGTCATTAGCACCTCTAGTAATATATTTACTGAGAAAAATGTTGACGTGTTCAATACTTATTTTACCCGTTGTATATGTGTATTAACTTGGGTGCTAACATGAAAGCTAACAGGCTAAACTGAGGTTCTCCTTACATGATGCAGCTCTGTTGTCCTCCATCCATATTTTTAGTTATACAGGCTGATTCATTTGTACCTTCTCCTCTCTGTCAACACTCTGGTTTCATTTTAAAGGGCTGGTTCACAGATATTGTCCAGAATTAACCTTCAGGGTGGATAGAGCACCTAACATCATCATTTACCCAGTATGCTTTGTGAAGTAAATAGTAGCGCTGTCAGTGTGAGAATATATCGACTTTTTAATTTATAAAAACTAAACAGCCTACAGTAAATGTTTAACAAATAATGTCTAGTGTCTGAACTAATAATCGGGTTTCCCTTTAAAACTCTGGCATGAAAGATTGTGGGCGATATGCATTCCTTCAAGGATTTACAGCGTAAGTCTATAAATCAAACAGGAATGATAATATTTAAATAACACGCTCTGAACCCTGCAGGAAAAGTCCGTCTTCCGAGTGCATGCGTCACCCTGTGGTTTGTTTCTGTGCAGAAAAGAACCACAAAAGCTCTGAGATCTTAGAAGAAGCTTGTTGAAACATTGTTAGATCATTATGAGATTATTGGGTCTGAACATGCTGCCCAAGTCCAAACAGCCCCGGTACTGCTGGTGTTAAAGCAAATGCTGCTGTTTTGCATGCATTTGCAACCGTTTGGTTACCAGAAACACACAGTTAGCTCATCAGGGTCCACTTAAAGGCTTCAGCTCTGTTCTGTGAAGTCAAAAATAAGAAAGAGGAGAGATGCTTTTCCTGAAGGACTAAAGACTCTCAGCTACTACCGAATCAATCATAAAAAAAATTTAAAAAAATGAAAGGCTTAGCATTTAAAATGAAATTATCTCTAAAGTTGCAGGCAGTGCTCAGATTATCAGCTGCCAACACACAAGATTTAGTTCAAACTCGTCAACATTAACTGAGTTATATTTATTTTTGTGTTTGCTAATGTCAATTACCTGTAATGGCCAATATAGTTTTAATTACTTTTTGTGAGTTTAATTATCTACTGGATCGTTATTATTTTTGCTAAACGAAAAACTAGATTGATGCCAACTCTAATGTTTTAAGCAAAATCTTGTAGAACATGTAGAGCTCACAGTATGTGCTGAGGATGACTCTCAGCTATTGCCACATTAAACTTTAGTGTAATATTCGTAAAACTGACAGAGTAACAGCTTTTGTTTGTGTTTCATTAGCTCAGTTATCTACAAATTCATGCCCATTTTAAAATGACCCTTTTTCTAGAAAATAATATAACTATCGAGTCATGGTAATAATAAAATAAGACGTTATTTCAATTGTGAAGTACTCAGAGACAATCAAGAAAAGCAAATTTATATGTGAATTTGTGACTCGTCATGGGTTACCTCATCTCTCGCAAAATTAATACTGGAGAGAGAGAGGTACTGGATGGATGGATGGATGGATGGATGGATGAATGGATGGATATACAAACTGTACATGTACACAGGTCTTTTTGTTTTCTTGCTTGTTGTTTTCTATCAAATCCCCCCAGAATGCAGAAGATGAACATCCAAACTTCCATAGATTTTTCTGTGCTTTGACTCAAAATACGCTCTTTAACTGTGGAAGTGAAGAATCTTTATCTGCACTGAAAACACTAACTTGTAAGATTTACTTGAAAAAAAATCCTCATAACAATTTGCACTAATGTTTGTTAAGTAAATTTAAATGCTACAATTTCAAGTAATATTTACTCATAATTATCTAGTAAAAGTTACTAAGAATATGGTTAAAGGGTTGTGAAAAAATCAGGTAAATTTTACAAACTTTTACTAAATTCTTAGCAACTTTAACTAGATAATGAGTAAATATTACTTGAATTTGTATCATTTAACAAACATTAGTGCAAATAGTTATGAGTATTTTTTCAAGTAAATCTATCAAGTTCTTTATAACAGTGCACATGCGTCAAGCACAATATTGTAGCATGACACCTCACAGTCACAGAGTAAGTGTAGCTCTTGTTGTTGTTCAAGACTTCACCACCAGGTGGCAGTTTTGAAGTATCTTTATTGGATTCTTCTTCATGAACAACACAGACAAAGTGAAACTCACAGGTCTTATTAATGACTAGGCCTACCACTCTCACTTATGGTTACTTCTGCTGAACGGTTTAACACAAGTTAACAAATAATGAACACACAAATTAGAGTAACACAACAGACTGATCGCTGAAAGATTAATGTTAACCAATTCCCGAAAATGATTTAACGACATGAATCCTACCCACAATCCTCCACTGCAGTCACATGACAAACAGCCAGTCTGAGCTAGCAGCACTGCTAACATTCACTGGCTACAAAGTCATCAAACTATTGCACACCAACAAATGCATTCAAGCAAAAGAAACCAGACAGTTTATGTTTTATTTCCACCATGTCTTGTCCTCTCCTTGAAAAGTGAAGCAAGGGAATGAGGAGCAGCAGCCTTTGTGTGTGCATGCACCCTCAGTTTTAGCCCAGAAGAGTAGAAGTTACTTAATATATTCATGTTTATGTGCTGTCCAGAAAAAACACTTAAATATTACTACTAAAATATTAACTTTTACTTTTTTGTACAGTAATATTGATATATGATATAATGCGCATTGTTTATTTAGTAAATTCTAGTAGTTTAGAAATTTTGACATTTTTTTTGTAAAATTTATAAAGAATAATTAAATGGATGTTACTACAAGTTTTTTTTTTTTTTTGTGGTCATATCTTCATGAAACACTTTAGCCACACAGTGTGTGACAACTCGTCTTCAATTTACGGTTCAAGACTTTTGAAGAGCTGACGAGTAGTTTTCACGCAGCGACTGTTTGTTTGAGGCTTACATTTCAGTCTGCATTCTGTCTGCCTCCATTCATAACTTGGCAGCCATGTGATGAAGTGGTTATCGTACAGTGAGCCAATGGCAGTAACTTTAACATTTGTTTTGACCTTGGTTCAATGTTACATTTTTTTAGTTCACACATCAAAATGTACCAATTTTTCCTTGGATAACTACAAAGTTTTGCTAGAATTTGGGGCTATAGCTGCAATGGTATCCTTCAGAAATTTTTTAGATATGTTATAACTTCAGAAGGTGGTTCTGTTACACTGCAAAAACTGTCCACCTAACCAAGTTTTAAAATCTTATGTCAGCCAAAAAGACTTTTTGATCTTGTTTTGAGACTGATTTACTAAACAAGAACTGATTGTGTAAGAATAATAATCTTGTTTTCAGAATGTGTAACATTATTTGTCTTGTTAGACTGAAAATTTAACTCAAATTAAGTCAAAACTTTCTGCCAATGGAGTAAGAAACATTTACTTGGTAAGATTCTTAAAATACTTGATTTGACTTTTTTTTCTTATTTCAAGAATCTTACCAAGTAAATTTTTCTTACTCCATTGGCAGAAAATTTTGACTTAATTTGAGTCAAATTTTCAGATTAACAAGACAAATAATCTTACACATTCTGAAAACAAGATTATTATTCTTACACAATCAGTTCTTGTTTAGTAAATCAGTCTCAAAACAAGATCAAAAAGACTTTTTGGCTGAATATAAGATTTTAAAACTTGGTAAGATGAACAGTTTTTTCAGTGTATATTGTGTCTGTATTTTTGACTATTATTTGTGGGGATAAAAAGAAATATGTAAAAGGCTCTACGTGAGGTTGCATTTAGACTAGATTTATTGCTTCTAATCTTCAATGAATAGCTTCTAAAGTGTATTAAAACTAAAAAAAAATCGGGGAAACATCGGGGGAACAAAGCAGCCACTGTTCAAAAGAATGTCCCAACACAGACGAGCTACATCTAATGGCCAGAACTCTGCAGTTTTCACTCATTTACAGGCCAGCGGTCACTCTTTCAGAGATGAGGATGTTCTCATTCTTGATAGAGAGGAACGTTGGTTTGAGAGAGGAGTAAAAGAAGCCATTTTTGTGAAGAAAGACCGTCCATCATTAAACAGAGGTGGAGGCCTCCGTTTTCAGCTGTCCACCTCCTACAGCGCAGCCATTGCCAGTATCACTCCACCCCCTGTTAACAATAAGTGTTAATTAGGTGTCAACAATAGCCATGTGATGTGAGTATCAGTCACATGGAGGCAGGGCTTAAAAGCCTGAATTTTGCCTGAAACTCTCAGACTGAAGAAGTCTCTTGGAGGAGAGACGAAACGTTTCATTAGAGAAGAACCCGTCCAGAAGACCTATACAATTTTTTTTCTTTTTGATTTTTTACCTGGATTACTGAGATGCCTCAGGAAATGTATTAAAACCACTATAAATCATTTCACTGTGGTTATGTAAGAGTTTTACCACTGCAGGCCAGAGCATGGCACTGTTTCCAACAGAACCCCGTCTGTTTGCATCCCTCTGGGGACCCGGACATCAAATTTACTGTTGTAATTTTATTATCTGCTGCTGCTTCTTCAGATTCACCCGTGAACAACTCACCTGTCTGTCTGGATGCAAGACATGATCCACAGTAGAGATAGAGCAAAATGTATGGCATTTTTTAATTAAAAAATTGGGAATTTATCCTGTTTATTGAGTCGGTTTCAAATACAGTGAAAGTTAAGCTAAAAAAATAAATAAATCAGCTTTTAGCCCATTCGTCATGTGTTTATAACCAGATGGTCCCCCCCAAACCAAGTCCGGTCCAAAAGACGAGCCGCTCCGGGTTTTAGGAGTTTCTACCCCCCACCGCAGTGGGAGGAAGTAGAACCACAAAGCACCGTGCTAACAGCAAAATACAGGAAAAATTACTTCAACGAAGGACTTAACGCCGATATTGTTGCTGGAAATCGAACAACCTGCTGGGAAGAAGTGTGTAAAAGCAGCGGAGGAGGGGGAGGAGCTGTCTCTGTAAGCCGAGGGAAGTGAGGGCTTCACGGGCAGGAACCAGTCGGGGGGCTGCCGCCGCGGAGCACGACGACCTGCTCGGCTTTCCTGCTTTGACTTCACCTCCGAGCGAGGAACCCGCCAAAAAGCAACCCGGTGACACTTTACTGCCATGAACTCCAACAGTAACCCTGTCCTCCACCTTACCTCGGGAGGAAAACTTATCTCTCACCAGGAGAACTAATCCCCGCTGACCAGCGCTCTCCCCCCGCGTTCCCCCCTCAGCCACCAGCGGCGTCACAACCTCCCCGCAGCTCCGCGCTGGATCGCCAGGCGAGAAGGCTCGCCCCTCAAGCTCCACACACCCTCAGCGAGCAGCTATACGGATTAAATTCCTGGGTGGCCACATTTTAACTCTTTTTTTATTTCGGACTGGATGAAGACTTGTTTCTCGGAAGAACGGCAAGACTTCCCCAAAAGCGGAGGCGCCAGGAGCCGCAGCAGTTAGCTCCGATTGCAGGAAACCTACAGCCCCGGTGGTTGTTGTTGGACCAGCTTGTAGCCGTGTTTATCTGGCATTTTTTTATTTTTACACATGAAGCTGCCGAGCTGAATTCTTTACATACACATGTATGAGTGGCTAACTTAGCCTGCTGGCTAAGTGGGTTTCGTTTTTTTGCTAGCTAGCTTGGTAGCTAACTAGCTAGCAGGCGAACCCAGAGTCGGTTCTGCTTCGAGCGGACTCGGGTTGTGATTTGTAATCACACCGTGTGGTTCGGGCTGGATCTGGTGCTAAACACCTGATATATTGTCTGCTGTGGTACTGGTTTTTGATGCGCCCAGTTCGGACTTTATAATCAGCTTTAACAGGAAGGAAAGAAAACAACCAGCAGCCAGCGGACCGTGCTTCTCTGGAGTTTACGGACTCGTGAGTTTAGCCTTTTTTTTGTGATTTATTTTGCAAATTTTTGCCGCACTGGAGGACAACATTCAGCCTCGGAGCGTCCTTTCTCCTTCATCCGTGGGTTTGAGGCGAGGAGCCACACGTGTCCCTGTTTGTTTCCTGTAAAAAAAAAGCTGACTTTGCTGCTATTGAGGCCAAAAAAAGACTCCAACCACAGCTCCGTTTTGCTGCCATTTTCACCGGAATCGGAGCATTTTTTTGTCGCCTGCGCAGTGTGTTTACATTTTTAAGAAGAGCCCCCCCACCACCATCAGAAGCCCCCCTCATGTCTGGCTGGAGACAGACCGGCCATTCGGACAGTTTAGCAGCAGAGATGTGCAGGGTTTGACCACCCTCCATCGACAGGCGTTAAAACAAACAAATCGAGCCCGGTTTCCTGCCTCATCGCACCCGCAGAGAAAAGCTGCAGTTTTAGCGCTAAATGGGATCACAGGAGCGGTGATCCTGTCGACAGGGGGTCTGGGGTGGGCTCATTTCTGTCACCCTCTATGTCTTCCCTCGTGAATTTCCTTTTTTTAAATTAACATTTTTAATTTTTTGGTAAAGCCTCAACGATGGTAGCTTGAACCGAACAGCGACACAGTTCCGCTCTCGGCCCTGGATGTTCTTATCTGCTGGAGGAAGCCATTTTTTTTTTACTTGTTTTTATAATTTCCTAAAATAAATTAGCCGTCCAGAGCCGCGCGGCTTTATTGATCCGAGAGGAAAGATGGCGGACCTTGAAGCGGTACTCGCCGATGTCAGCTACCTGATGGCGATGGAGAAGAGCAAGTCTACCCCGGCGGCCCGGGCGAGCAAGAAGATCATCCTCCCGGAGCCCAGGTAGGCTCACCGTGCTGCTGGGTGGGGGTGGGGGGCTTGGGTTTGTCTGCTCTGCGTGCTTCCTCCTGCAGACACAGCCATGCGGCCTGGATGCTGTTGCAGAGCAGGTTATCAGCCATGCCTGTCAGCGGTGTTAGCAAAATATCCCACCGGGCTGACTTAAAATACATTTTCAGAACCTGATCATTGAAAGGGGGGTTTGAAACTCCAGGGTGTAAGAAGGACGCCACAGCTGAACGACCTTAGCGAGCACAAAAGTTGCTCTGCCTCAGTCAGTTTCTCAGTGTGAGCTGATGTTTGGTGGTGGTAGTAGCTGAGAGTCATCACTAACATATTCTGAGTGCACAGAGCAGGATCTGTTAAACTGCTGGAGCCAGCTTCCTGTCCTTTTTTAGCAAATTATGTTAGAAACTAGTGGACAGGTTTTAAAAGGGATCCCTGATTAGTTGCAACGTTAGACTTTATTTGATAAACATATATTTTAACTGTACAATAAATACTGTAAATACTGTAGGCTGCTTAGTTTATTAAAATTTTAAAAATTTATTTTCACATGGATGGAGGACCTCAGTGAAGAGAGGAGAATGGCTGTGTCCAAAACGGCAGGCCGGGTCCTCCGAAGGCCGAATTTGTCGGCCGCATACGTCACAGCGCCGCGACGAAGGACGTCCAAAACCGAAGTCTCCTAATACATATACAGGCTGTGTCCAAAACGGCAGGCCGGGTCCTCCGGAGGACCCAGACTACCCGGTCGCGGCGGGCCGGGTCCTTGGTAGACCGGGAAGACCGGAAAAAAAGAGGCTGTGGATTTGGACGGTCTAGCCTCCCCTCCTTACCCCGGCGTACGTCATGTCACCTAGCAACTGTGACGACGCTAATGGTGCGTTCACACCGAACGCGATTTCAGCGTCAGGAGCAGCAGGTTTACATACAAAGTCTATGGTGGACGCGCTTCAAGCAACGTCGGGAAGTTCTGCGGCGCCTCAAGCGCGATTAGAGCAGCGCGATTTGGACGATTTGGACGATCTGAGCGTCGAACGCTCAGATCGTCCAAATCGTTCAAATCGCTCAAGTTAGAAAACCTGAACTTTTGCAGCTCGACGCGCAGCGTCAACCAATCAGAGAGACTCCACTGTGTGACGTAGCGACATATTTCCCGACGGGACAGTTTACTGAATGATGTCCACTAACCTGAAACAGACAGAGCTCCTGCTCTTTAGCTGAAATGAGTGCTGCAGTCGTGTCCTGATCCGCAGCAATGCGTGGCAGCGACTCATCAGACTGAAAAAAATAGTCCTGAAAGCGAGCTGTGAGCCTCTTCTCTGAATTATCTGGTGAATTAATTATGAATTAATTATCTGATGAACGTGACACGTTCTGGCTGTCTGTAAATAAAGCAAAGCCACTTCCTCGTCCGACATTAAACAGCCCCACAGAGGAGGGAGGGGCAGGGCGGCTGTCGCCGTGCAGCGCAGGTGTCCTGCGTCTGACCTCAAAGTGCACAAGCTTCAAACTTCAGCATTGGCTGCGATTTTGACGCTGAAATCGCGTTCGGTGTGAACGCACCATAAACAAGCAAACTTAAATCAAAACTAGAAAAATACCAATAATTAGCATTATCAGTATCACAAAACTATAAAATTAACTTAAAAGTATCATTTGAAGAACTAATTGACCCGCTGTAGGTTCATGTTTATTTCGCGTTTTTTATGACGAAAAAATAATATGTAAAAACACGTCCATACAAATGATAAAAGTATTAGAATTACAACCGCTAAATCTTTTTAATTTTATATCACCATATTTTTATTTAAAATGTATTCTTTTCTCTCGCTTCGTCCGCCATTACTAGCATAAAAAACTCTCCGGTCGGGCCGCAATGCATTATGGGATATGCTGGGCCGGGAAGGATCCATCAGACCAGTACTTCGATTCGGGCCGAAGGAAGGACGTATTTGTCGGCCGCATCGGAGGAGTCTTCGGTTTTAGACATCCTTCGTCGCGGCGCTGTGACGTATGCAGCCGACAAATTCGACCTTCGGAGGACCCGTCCTGCCGTTTTGGTCACAGCGATTCTCTTATATGTATTAGCTCAGCGCTACCGCAACAAACAAGCTAAACTGAGGTCCTCCATCCATATTTTCAGTTGCAGCTGAGTCATTTTTGTGTTCCCCTCTCTGTCATGTGGATGGAGGACCTCAGTGACGAGAGGAGAATGTGTAGCGCTGAGCTAATACATATATATGGAGATAGTGTCGGTGCTAATGCTAAAGCTAACAGGCTAAGCTGAGGTTCTTCTTCCATGAAGCAGCTCTGTTGTCCTCCATCCATATTTTCAGTTCCAGGCTGAGTCATTTCTACCTTCTCCTCTCTGTCAACGCTCTCTGGTTTCATTTAAAAGAGTCGATCATCAGATATTGTCCAAGATTAACCTTCAGGGTGGATATAGCTCGCTAGCAGCCTCGTGACCTATCCATGTCATCATTTACCCAGAATGCTTTGTGTGTAAATAAAATGGCCCCGTCCGTGTATTATATTTTTAAACTTTTAGTTAAAAAATGATAAAAACTGAACATCCTACAGTACTTTTACAGTCTTTTACAGTGAAAATATATGTTTATTAAATATAGTCTAATGTTACAACTAATCATGGATCCCTTTAATAAAACTCTCAGTCAACATTGGATGAAAAAGTCTGCAATTGATTAATTTTTGAACTAAATTCAAGATGGCTGCCACAGCCAACTGACATTTGGAAACACAAAAAAGTCAATTTAGTGTGGTAGTAGCTGAGCAGAACCCTCCACGCACACTGAGCGCAAACTGTGGCGTTTCGTTAACTCATTTTCTCTGTTAGTAAAATATCTCATGAGGCGTTAGATTTATTCGAAAGAAACGCCTATCAGTAGCAAGATGGCTCCCACAGCTGGTCAACATAGCCAACAAATATAGGTCCTAACTGGATCTGATTTACTGACACAGTTAAAACTTGGAGTGGTAGTAAGTGAGAGTAACTCTCAACACATACGCTGAGTGCTGACACGCATCCTGAGGTGTCAGCATTGGATGAGGTTGTGCATGATGTCATTTAAAAAGGTTGGATTAAATCGGGCTCTCAGTATGCATTCCCTTATTTCTCTCAGATATGAAGTGTCGATGCCCTTTCTGTCCTCTCCTTTGTGCTCCTGGCACACACCTGTCATCGCATCAGTTGCTCTCAGGCTGACAGTTGTATGTTTTAGGACGTTGTCCAGAGGTTGTTGTTTGTAACAATGCAGCTGTGCGACGAGTGCGACCAGCTTTTGATCTGAACCCCACCTCCACTCATCCATGCCGTTAGCGAGCGCCCACTGTCTTCGTCAAACAAGACTAAAGCCTCAGCCTGATAGAGGTGACACCCCTTCGCTCGCCTTATTTATTTTTGTTACCAGCTGCAGCATAATTGCCCATCTTTTATCCCCTTTGCAGCAGCTTGTCAATGGCTTCAAAGTGCCTGTTTTGGGACAGGTTTTAGCCACGTAGCGTGCAACTTCATTGAACAGGATGTGGTTAAAATTTGGTTATTGACAGAGTTGCTTTTCAAGTGAGAGCTTTTCACAAATGACTGAGCCATTTTTTTCTGGCTTAAGTCAAACCATAGCCATGTAGGAAAATGTTTGGACTACTCCCTTTTTTTTTTGTCACATTTCTTTTCCAGAAGAGAAGAAGGCCCTCACTGTTACCTGTTTGCAAGAAATTAAGGTTAAATAAATATAAACTGAGAGCGGGTCTCATTATCTGTTCTGTCACTTATAAAGAGTCATATACATATAGGGTGCATACATGTACCCGTATCGAACAATACAGATTTAAAAAATTTACTTTATCAACTTGTCTTCTGAAGATGCTCTGTGTTGAAGGATCAGTGGATCTGTGTTCGACTACTCCACCTAGGCTGCATTTTTGAGCTCAGATCCACTGAGAAACTTGCTGTTTCAGCAACATTTAATTAAAAAACTGTACATTTGAGGTTAAACCAATTTTCATAATTAATATAAATAAATTACAAATTAAAAGGGACATGGACATTTCTCTTTTTTGTATCGAAAAAATATCGAACCGTGAGACTAAAGTATCGAACCGAACCGTGAATTTCCTGTATCGTTGCACCCCTAATATATACAGTATTAGGGCTGTGTATTGGCAAGAATTTGGCGATACGATACATATCATGACAGAGGGGTCACGATACGATATATCCCGATATATTGCGATACTGTAAGCAAGGTGATATATTGTGATTTTTTTTGTCCAAAAATTCTACTAAATAAAAAGAAGATGCAGTTAAAATTAATAAAAGGTAGGTACGTTTTGAACATCCAGAACACGTCCAACACTTGTTGGCTGCTTGTGCTCTTTAGGTCAGACGTGTGCCGGGAAGCTCCTCTGTTGTTTTAGACGCTGGGGGAACCGTCTGATGGGGGAACCGTCTGATGGGGGAACCGTCTGATTGGGGAACGTGGCTCGGCCTAACACCGGTCTCTGTTTAATGGTGGATGAAATAAAGAAAGTGGTGGTACTTTATTTACTTTGAGCAAGTGAACATCATGTTCACAAAATAATTAATCCACCAGATAATTCAGAGGCGGTCTGTTCGGTAAATTTTACTCCAGGAGCTGCGAGGCTTGTTTTCAAGCTTCAGACTGAACTGAAGCAGCAGCTGCTGACATCATTACGCTCTTGCGCGATGCTGCGTTCAGGACAAGCATGGAAAACCCACAACTGTTATACCAATACGGTCGCAATGATGCATTTATGTACCGAAATGGAATTGCGTGAACGTTCACGTGGTGGTTATGTAATACAGCGAATCGATAATAAAAAATCTGCGTCGACAAATTTACATAATCAACCTCATCGATTATTTCAACTAATCGGTGCAGCCCTACTTCTCTTATAAAAAAAGCTAATTTAAATTGGGCTGAGTTGATGTGGAGAACAGTTCTGTGGCCTTCCTTTGA